GCAGCATTCAGCTGTGGCTTAATGTGGACGATTTGACTATTTTTTTAAAATATATATTTCAGTTTGAATAAAAAGCCGAAACCTTTGCGATTGAAACTGTGATCTCTGATTTATAAATACAAATTGATTTAATTTGGGGTTATCGACTCTGAGTGGGCCAAGTGTTTATTTTTATATACGATAACTGGGGGAGGGAAAAAAGCAAATTTAAAGATTTAAGGGGGGAAATGCGTTAATGTCGCGAAACCTGAACTGAATCCCATATGCTGAACCGTCCCGGGTCATTCAGAGCCACGCTGGCACTGCATCTGCGTGACAGGCTACATTTGAAATACATATCCGGGTGTTTCAGGGTCTCCTCTCTCGGTATTAATTGACGTCGGGGTTTCAGTAACGGTGTAGCACAAACGTGTAGCTTGCGGGGGATGTGCCAGGCCGTCTCCAGATTTTCTATTTTTTTTAATTTACATGTTTTTCCTGCCAGGGTCCGTCAACGATATCGGCCCTGTTTTATTTATTTATTTAAACATTTGTATTTTAAGTTCCCTTTTATGGCGGAGAAGAAGAAGAAGAAAAAATAAGTGGTAGCAGAAGAAGAAGAAAGTGATGGCGCAGCTTTAATTGTTTTGGCTCTTATTATTGGGGCCTGGGCGGTTTTGAGCCAGAGAAAACGGTGGTTAGAAAATAAGCCCTGCCTTTGACTGGGTGGATATCGGTGTGTTTATGAAACTGAGGGATAGTTTGTCCCTTTAACAGGCATTTGTTTGGTCACAGCAGCGGTTTTTTTCTTTTAAGCGGACGGTTAGTTGAGGTGAAACGACGCGAACTGGTACGTTTGAAGCAGAGCATGTATTTCGTATTCATATTTTTTTTAGTTATTATTATTAATAATAATTAATTAATAAAGTAATAATAATAATAACAATAACACTGAGTAAATCCCGTCACCTCCGACTGCTAATTGATAATAGGCTAATAATTAAAGCTAAAGGCCACGCGCATGTGGCCCTAATTTAATTTCCGGGTAAGAAGATTAACCCTGAGACACTTTCCATGATGGGTTTATGCCGCTTCGATAGACCTAAATAACCATATAGGTTCTTCCAACACAGCAACATGAAGATTACACAATATAGGCGTAGTGTGGAGCAGCAGATAGTGCAGACATGCAAATGTAAGCACGGGGTTGCCCCCTTTTAAAATCTGGGACTTAAGAAAAATCCGCAGTTTTCTTCCTGAAAAATATGTTTTTTCTTCTACTTCTTCAGCAAGTGAAAGGCAAACAGCATAGCGAAGAGAAAATGACTTAAAACTCCTTGTAGTCAAATTTCACTGACATTTGAATGGTGGTTTATTTGCATTTTGGCAAGGTCACCCAGAAAACCTTAATTCCCACTGAAAAGCAGACACACTGGAAAATACATTCAAGTGTCAGTTATCTCCTCCTGCTACACTAAGTTTGTGCAGGTGGTGATGGATGCAAATATATCTTGACAGCGATGCCAAACGCAGTCATGCTCCACGGTGAGGTTCTTTTGTTACGTTATCCAGCGATATATCAAACTTTTGGCTGATTGGAGATAAACGTGGAGGTGTTAGCAGATGATGGGTGAGCGTCAGTGTTTCATTACGGGCTCTGGTGATGGAGCTGAAATGCATTGGTGTGTGGAGGATGCTCAGCCTGACAGAATGGTGTGATTGTATGACCTTTGACAGTCTGCAGGCCTCTTCTCATGAAATTATCACTTAAAGACTTGCTAGAACTTCAAGTTGACTAACTGTGGTCTTTTCTTCAATGTTTGTCATGTAACAGAGGAATATATCAATTTAAATAATTGCTGAAGGCTCCCATTTAAAGCTGCAACTATCAATTGTTTTTGTTTGATTTTGTCTGTTAAAGCCAGAAACTGTCAAAAACTGCCGTTTGGAATTCTTTAATTTTTTCTTGTTGTGCTTCCCAACCTCACACACTGAGAATTGCTCATTTCAGTCATATATGACAAAGGAAACCATCCAGTTCCTAATATTAAATAGATGAACCCAGGCATTTTTTAGTTCTTGTTCTTTACATTTTTTACATCTTTACATCTGAATGTGGCGTCACTTTATTGCACGAGATCTGGAGTCCTGATCCTCTGCTCTTGGTCTGTGATTCAGCAGCACTTGAACCTTCCCACTGTCTGTCTGCTGAGCAGGTGCAGCCCTGACTGCCACTCGTTCAGAGCTGAAACTAGTGATTATTTCCATTTATTTCCATTTAGTCTGTTAGATGCCGAAAGCTTGTCTAATGTTAGTTTAATATCATTTGTGATAAATGTATCAATACCCCATTTTTTTTTGCAAAGCTTAGACCCGAAAGTCTTTGGCAGTTTTGCTTCCAGATAATTTCCCATGAATTTATCAGCAGATATTTTCGACTCTACATGTATTCTTCGTCCTTGCTGACTCCCTCTGATTGTGGTGCAGGTCTCCTGATGCTATGTTTCAGGTTTATTGCACTGGTCAGTGATTCAGCACCACCACCTTCACTCAAGCTGCCTGCCAAGCAGATGTAGCCCTGAACGACGTGCTTTACGACGAGGCAACGGCAGTCGTCTCCGCTCCGATACCGAACTGCAGACACCTCCCAGGGCGGGGGGTGTTCGGGGATACGTACGGAGCCGATTCGGGCTCTGGGATTTCGTCCTCGTGCTAGCTGTGCTGCTTAAAAACAAAAACAGCTGAGGCAAATTCTGGTTCCTCTCCTGCCTTCACCCCCACACCCCACCCACCCCTTTAAATTCTGTAACAATTTCTGTATCTGTGCCTCTAAATCATCTCGTCATTCGTTTTGCGAGTGTGCAGCGAGAGGAGGAGTGTGGCTGCCCGGGTTTGTTTCTCCCTCTTTGTTTGCTGTGGTAAACCCACGAGCAGCTGCCGGTGGTGGGGTCTGGAGGGATTCTGAAGCTGTGTGTCCTCTCTCGCGCTTTGCCATCCTCTGCCAAGGTGGCATTATGCGAGCAGAGAAAGGGGCAGAGAGAGGGAGCGGGAGACACAGAGGAGGTGAGGGCGGTGGGGTGAGAGGGAGACGAAGCAGTGGCGGCCATAGTAAAGATGGAGGCAGGCTGAGGGCTGTGGGGATTGGTGCAGGAGAAGGCTCGCTCCCCTGAACTTTGCCTCCGTGTCAGAGAGGAACTTGTCGATTTGGCAGATTGTGCAGCGTCGGACATGGCTGCGCGCTCCCTTACACTCCCACCTGCTCCCCCCACCCCCTCTTCTCTCTCTCTCTCTCCCTCTCATTGCCACTACCCCCCCTCCCTTCTCCTCCCCTCCCTCCCCCCTTCCCACCCTCTCTCCTCTTTCTCTTTTCCCTCCCTTTCAGCTCTTGAAGCTAACGCATTGGCTGGGCTACAGGCATCTTGTTGCCAAATAGGTGGGCCCTACTCGTGTTGGCAAAGGCTCAAGCAATGGTTAGGGAAAGAACGCGGAGAGGACGAGAGACGGCGAGCGCGAAAGAGAAAGAGAGAGAGTTGGAGAGAAAAGGGGAAAAAAGAAGCAGCACTCGGCTTTGCCAGCGGTCGTATGCGCTCATCCAACATTGATTCGGCTCTCTGTTTTTTTCCTCCCTATTCTGTGCTCTGCTCTCCCTGGCCCCCCCATCTGTGTGTGTGTGAGAGAGCGTGTGTGTGCATGCGCGCGCTGGTGCCGGGCCCGGGGATCAGAACAGACACCACCACCAATTAGATTTTGCCAAGGATTTTTTTTTCCTCTGAGATTTTTAAAAAAAATTTGGAACTCACAAAGGACTGTTGAATTTTTGTTCTTTTTTTCGAATACGTTTATTCTCGCTGTTAAAGTCTTTTTCTAATCTTTTTTTCTAACATTTACATTTTTACCTGTTTATTATTTTTTTTGCTCCAACTTTTTTTTTCCTTTTTTGTGTCATTTTTGGCTTTTGTCTCGAGAGCTGCTGGCGAGCGTCCTGCTGCAGGACTCCCTTAAAATCTTTTTTGGTGTGTGTGTGTGTGTTTTTAAACTTGAGCCCACTGTTTGTGCTCAGCAGCGTGTTCTGCAAATTTTTAAAAAATTATAACCCTCCCCACCCACCCCAAGTTTTTTTTCTTTTCTTTTTTTCATCTGCTAATTCTCCACACCCTGCCAAAAGCAGCACTTGCTTTACGTTGGGGAGCGCGGGAGGAAAGAGAGAAAAAAAACTGGTGCAGGAGATTTTTTTTCACTTTAAACGCTGTGCCAAATTTATGATGAGAGTGCAAAATGGTAACTACCAGGCCGTCTGTCTTCCTCTAGCAGTGTGGTTTTCTGTGGTGATTTCTGTCTGCTTTCAGTTTGTTGTGGAAATGTGAGTCTGGTTGGAGCTCCCTTTGCATGGTAGCGCAGATAGGAAATGGTATGGCTGATCTTTTAGCGGCACATTTCAACAGTGGTCTAGTGGCGGCAAAGCTTGGCGGTGGTGAGCGACCGGTGTGTGGCAACCCTGGCACAGGAACGCTGTGGCGAGATCTGGGCTTTGTTGCCCAGAGATATGTAGTGAAGGTATTATGGTACAGCAGAATAACTTGTCTTTTTACAGCAGGAAAAGCAGGAGCGCAACTTGGCTCAGTTTTTCATCTGAATTCGTGAACTGTCGTCTTTTCTTTATTGTCTCGAATGTTTCATTTTTGAAATGCTTTGTGTCATACCTTTGCATGCTATTGTAAGGATGATTTTCCCTGTTTTTCCTGCATGCTTTATTTTTATTTGAGTCTGAATGCTGGAAATGAGGAATGATTTTAACATTTTAATGGCAGTTATTTGAATAGCTTTTTGATTTGAATTTAAATTAATTGATAATCATCAGAATTTTCATTATTCCAACAACACGTTTAGTATTATTAAACATTTTGGCATTTTCATTAAAAGTTTTAAAAAACCTTTAATTTTACAACTTAAAAAAAAAAAGAAAAAGCATTTTAAAAAATTTTTACAGCTTCCTAACGCCGCGTCTTTTTCTCTCTCGTCAGGATGAATTTCATCCCTTCATTGAGGCCCTTCTCCCCCATGTCCGTGCCTTCTCCTACACCTGGTTCAACCTGCAGGCCCGTAAACGCAAGTACTTCAAGAAGCACGAAAAGAGGATGACCAAGGATGAGGAGCGCGCGGTGAAGGATGAGCTGCTTGGGGAGAAGCCAGAGATCAAGCAGAAGTGGGCCTCGCGCCTGCTGGCCAAGCTCCGCAAGGACATCCGGCCGGAGTTCCGCGAGGACTTTGTGCTCACCATCACGGGGAAGAAGCCCCCCTGCTGCGTGCTGTCCAACCCCGACCAGAAGGGCAAGATCCGCCGCATCGACTGCCTCCGCCAGGCCGACAAGGTGTGGAGGCTGGACCTGGTGATGGTCATCCTGTTTAAGGGCAGCCCCCTGGAGAGCACGGACGGCGAGCGTCTGGTCAAGTCACCCCAGTGCTCCAACCACGGCCTGTGTGTCCAGCCACACCACATTGGGGTGACGGTCAAGGAGCTGGATCTCTACCTGGCCTACTTCGTCCACTCACCAGGTATGTGCTACCTGTAGACGAACCCTTTTCCCACCGTTTATGTGGTTGTTACACACACACACACACAGGTCATGTGTTTTGTCACACACTCTCTGGCATGTAAGTCACAGATTAGACCCTGCCCTCCACTATGTACCAGCTGATCCAGTGCCAGGCTTTGATAAAGACCACGTCCTGATATTTAAAGGGACAGTCTGCAGCGTCTAATCCTAAAAAAGTTTTTCCTCTCAGTGTTTCTATCTGGTTTAAAGAGATTCAGAGAATCTGACAGTCAGGCTTAAAACCTGTGTTTACCCAGAGATATGTTTGCATTGGTACATTTGTTCAAGTATTTGTGCGCAAATTTGTCTAAATCCAAATGTGCATGTTTTTCAGTGCCGTCTGTAAACAAAAGCATCTGCAAACCTGTTTATCTGTTTGTGCGTGCACACGTGTGCGCGCACGACAGGCAGTTTGTCATGTGTCTGTAATCCATGTGTGTTGTGAGGTTGTTGTGTATCAGTAGCAGTGTGGCGTATTTGTGGGTTTCTTTTGTGTGTGTGTGTGTGTGTGGTGGTCTGGAGAGCGCAGTGACAGCTGGCCCGGTCCCAGGTAGTTTAGGAGGCAGAGAGTCAGCCTGTCTGCAGCCTCAGCCTAACACACACACACACACACACACACACACTCAAGTGGACAGACTCTCGCTCAGGAGCTCTCGATCAAACACCCGAGCTGCGCCTTGCGTTGTTCTTCTGAGCGAACTGATCACACACACAGTCGCACACACAGTCGCACACACAGTCGCACACACAGTCACACACACAGTCACACACACAGTCACACACACGTTTGTGTTCGCAGCAGCGAGACGTTTCGCGTTTCTCTCCACACGTGTTTTCTGCTGTGACGGTGAAGTTGAAATAGAGGCGGTAAAAACATTTTGGTGTAACGTGTACACAAAGCCACATGTGTACTTGTGTGAGGGCAGCGCGGTGAAATATAATATTTGGATGTGTCGTTTTGTTACATTTCACAGCTGCAGTTGTTTCGACCTGATTTCATTTCTCAGGTAATTTTAGTTAAAATAATTAAAATAAATGCTGATCTGGATATAAAATTATTAAACATGTTGTAACTACTTTTGCAAAAAACAAAAACATTTAAAAACAAATAAAATTATATTCTGTCCAGTTAAATTCCTGCAGTGAGAATTCGATGTGCCTGAAGCTTAATCTTCCTGACACAAGTGAATTTAAATCGTCCTTTTAAACACACTTTTGTTTAAAAATGTCTCTATTAGAAAATCATTTTTAAAAAGCTCGATGTGTAGTAGCAGCCCTCCTGTTGTAGAGCCTGAAATGTGCTGGAGGATTTATAGTATAATTTAGGTTAATGTGTTTATAATTGAAGCCCAGCTTCACCACTGTTAGCTGTGATCGCAGTTTCAGCCACATTCATATATAATTTGGTCTATTTTATATATTTTATCCGTTGTCATCACTTGATCTAGCTGTTTCCGTCAGGTGTTTGCAGGTGTAAATCATCTCTCACACACACACACACACACACACACACACACTCTCCTCTCCTCCCTATTATCTCGGGCTCTCCTACCACAGACTGGCATACAGTTACAGGGCCTTAATTCTTCTCCTTGGCAGGGAGGTGCAGCGCTCCTCTGTGACAGACTCCCCCATGCCAGGCTGCTTTCAGCCCAGTGTGTAACTCTGCTTGAGTTTTGCGGGGCCTCCGTGAGCGCCCCTTCCTGTTCCACAATGTGGCACGGCAAACCGCGGCTCAGATTAGCTCCCAGCGCAGCCTGGTGCTCCTTAGAGTTTTTTCCCTGACGACTCTGTGCCAGAATCCAGCAGCCGCTCGCCCCCATCGATGCGATGCACTAGCCCGTCTTCTTTCTGTGTGCATTTCATTAGTATTTCATCTTATTTCTACACATGTGACTATTTTGCCATAAATCTTTCTTTTCTTTCTAATCTTTTTTTAAGGCTTGTTGGTTTACTGCTGCGTGTGAAAGAAGCAGCGCTGCTTCTTCCGCACTAACAGCTGGTGAAGAATGGGGAGAATGTGTGCGGTAACTAAAATGAAAAAACGTCCACCTTTTGTAAGCGCCGTGTTGTTCCAGCGGCGGCGCGGGTTAGCCAGAGGACAGGCAGACAGTGGCTCCACTCTAACCTTTGGGGTGGCAGCGCTACAGTTTTATTCTTAGCTCCCCTTCCCAGGGTGTCTGTGTCTTGCGGAAGTTATCAGTTGCTAGGCCCGATGATTGGACCGCAGCCGTCCCCGCCGTCGTGTTTCAGCTCTCTCGTCCCCACTGATGTCACTGTCGCCAGCTGTAAGGCGGGGGGGCGGATCTGCTTTCACGCGGCGTGATTGACACACACATACACAGTCACACGCACACTCACTAACCCCCCCCTCTGCTCCCTACAGTACACTATGTCTGCTTTTGTCCAATTATAGACCGCGGCCCTCGCAGGCGGGGCAGGGACAGATCAAAGCTGATGGACTCTGATCTGCTGCACCACAGCTTCAAGAGCAAGGTCCCGCTAATCACAAAACGAGCCTGATCATTTTCTTTTTGACAAGTACCTGCCTGCACACGAGCGCAGAGACGTAATTGTGAGGCGGTAACGAGAGTCGGATCCCAAAAGTGGTTAATTTTCTTTTCACTGATTCGGCTGCGTTCGACGGCAGCGGTAATGGCTCAGGGATGAGGAAGAGGTGGGGTGGTGGGTCTGATCTCATCTTTGATCACATGTCTGTTGAAAAGGAAAGTCTGGCTCGCCAGTTGGGCGCTGCGGGCCGTCCTCCACCTAGAGACGCCCGGCTCAGGTCATGTTTTTTCGAGCGGCGTGTTCCACATTTGTCCGTCTGACGAGGCCGCACAGTTCCAGCATTAGTCATTTTTGGAGCCGATCAGCCTCATGCGGCTTTCATTACTTGTGCTGTTATGATAAAAAGATGTTTCTGCAAGTGCAGCCTCCATATCTGGTCTCTGCGCTGGAGACAGAGCAGAGAGGTGCCCGGGGCAGGTCGGAAAGCCAGCCACGCGTGCCAGACGACGCCGTATCTCCACGCTGCTACGGCGCAAACACAAATCTGAGACATTCATTTACCCATCAGTGTGTCTTTGTGCGTCGTCGCGACATTACAAATGACCAGGAGAATTTCTTTTAATAGAGACAAACAAAGAGACAGACAGCCAGACTGAGAGACTTAACGCCTCCACGTCACGCTAAATCCATCAAACACATCTTATCTGCTTCGCCCAATATCCTGAGCTCCAAAAAGGAGGTAAAATTATCAGATGCAGTTACATAATAAAGGAAAAGCAAACAGGAAAGAGTGGGATTTGTTTTATTACACACGAGCTCGGTCCAGAGAGGAAAACTGGAAGTCGCCGTCGTGTCGTGTTTGCCGTTTGCTGAGTGTTTGCAGAAGAAAAGGAGGAGGTACGATGGTTAGAGGAGAAATCCTCTCTTCTCTTTCTTGGATCTGCGTGTTGCAGAATAGCGCTCCAGCGTTCTGGCACGGCTCCGTAACCCGGGCCGACGGAGGAACAGAGAGCGTCGGCGCCGAGGGAGCCGCATTCATGTGGTGTGAAAAACGCTGCTGCGACGCTTTCAACGCAAACTTTCTTACGCTTTGTTGTCGTTTGAAATGATCTAATAAAGTTTGAGCATCGGCAAGCCCCTCTGACATGACGGGACAGCGTCAGTGACACTGACGCGCTTTAACGTGCGCCGTGGCGTCCGGGCCTATTTTCACAACCCCTCATTTTTCCAGCTTTTTTTTTTAAACGTGTGTGTCACAGAGAGGAAAAGTGAAAAGAAGAGGGGAGTGTGCGGAGTGTAAGGAATCGCTGGTAAACAGATTACTCCGGTGCAATCGGGCTTCCTCTGACCTCCTTTAACCGTTCTCCCTCACGTCGTTCCCCGTCCTATAGGTCCGACCGCCGCGCTGCTCTACGGGCTTGGGAGCAGGCCAACCTGCTTCATATTCACTGTAATTATCCAGTTTAGTGAATAATCCTGGAAAAGATACACAAAAGACTGAGTGTATGATTGAATTATGTGCAATTTGAAATGAAGGTCGGGTCTTAACTTCGGGAATAGAAAAATTCCTTGTAGCAGAAAGTGCAACAAAGAGTAGCTTTATTTCCTAATTTCACTGTACAGTGGTTTTTAATTATTGGTGTAATTAAGGCTAATAAATAAAAGCCATGGTGTCTGTTTAGCAGCTTAGCTCACTTTTTTGGATTTAACGAGCAGAAATTTATTTAATTCTCAAGAAATTAAACGACTTAATAATATGGATTAATGAGTAGAGTAAACAAAAGCAATAAAAATAAATGTTCAGCTTATTGAGCTTTATTTTTACTTCACAGCTTCTTTGCTTTCCTCCACAGAGCAAACACAAATTCTCCGTCTCCGTGTTTTATTTTTAGTCTCTTCAGTTGTTTTGACCGATCTTCTCTTCTCTCTGTGCAGGCGCCAGGCTTGAAGTCTGTCCCTCTAAAAGCATAGGTATCCCCGCACAGGAGCTCTGGCCGCTAACGCCAAAGAGCAGGAGGAGCGATGAGCGATGTGTAGAAAGGACGGGAAAGAGCGAAGCGTCTTTTTCTGGGCCATTTCCCAGCAGCCAGATTCTGATCGGTCCGCCTCGCGCCTCGTCGCCTCGGTCCAGCGGAGCAGAGCGCACGCACGGAGACTTGCCCTGTAATTGGGATCGCTCTTTCCACACGGAAAAAAATCCTCCGTCTCCTCCGCGCGCACATCTTTCATTTAAAAGTAAAAAACGAGCAATTACACGTGAACGAAATCCCCTCAAATCACCACAAATGAAGCTGATAATGTGGAGATTAATACATATTTTCACCCCTGCTTCATTTATTCTCCGTTTAATGGTGATGGATGTCAGTGGTTGCTGTTAGGATGATATTGAGCGCTGATATAAAGTAAAAAGAAAAGCGTAGAATAAAGATAATGGAAAATGCCATGCTG